TTAACATTTTTTTGTTTTTCCTGTTTATTTCACCAGAGCACAATTTATCTACCACCAATATTCAAAAATCAAAACAAACCGAACCATAAATTCCAAGTAACTCACCTATATTAAGATAGAATCCAACAAAATCTCGGAATCCAAAAAGATGTATTTCATGGTTCATGGTGTCCTATATTTGGCTGCAAAGCAACTAAACTTCGCACAAATCTACTAATTTCATACTAAACTTTTATGTTCATGTCACTCATTGCCACACGATAAACCTTGGTGCAATATACTTTCTTGTAATTCCCAGGGATATCTAGAACCTAAGTTGCAGTTTCTAATTGACATTTTCTCTTTTCTCCAAAAACATCACTTAGCTATCATTAAAGTCATTGACAACATTCCAGATTTTTTACAAATCCAAATAGATTCCAAGTAACACACCTAGATTAATTAGAATCCAAACAAAATCTCAGAATTCAATAAGATGCGCATACACTCTGTTCCACCTGTCACCGATTTGAACACTCAAATCAAAAGTTAAATTGTATCCTCATTACAGAGTCCTCACTCTACACAATTTGCTTAACTCTGGACAAAACAAAGTCCAAACGAACCTTGGCGTAATATGCTTTCTAGTAATTCTTGTGATTTGAAGAACCTAAGTTCCAGTTTCTAATTGACCTTTTTCTTTTCTCCAAAACACTACTTATCTATCGTTAAAGTCATTGGCAACATTCCAAATTTTTAACAAGCTCAAATAGATTCCAAGCAACTAACCTAGATTAATTACAATCCAACAAGATCTCAAAATCCAACGCGCATATACTTTATTCCACCTGTCACCCATTCGAATACTACAATCAAATGCTAAAGTGCAATATCATTAAGTTTCAGTTTCTAATTGACCTTTTTTGTTTCTCTGAGACACTACTTATCTACCACTAAAGTCAATGGCAACATTCCAGATTTTTAACAAAAATAGATTCCAAGCAACTAACCTAAATTAATTATAATGCAACAAAATCTCAATTCAAATGCGCGTCTACATTTTCCACCTGTCACCAATTTGAATACCACAAGTGCAATGTCATTAAGTAAGAGTCCAATAATTGCCTGCAAAGAACAAAACTCTGACAATTCACGTAACTTCTTACTAAGCCTAATATGTTCTGGTTACTCTAGCTTAAAACTTGTAGAATGGTCAAAAACAACCTCTCCAATGGACCTCGCTACAATGAGCTTTCTTGTAAATCTGGTATTTCTAGAAGCTTACTTTCAGATTCTAAAGACTATTTTTCTTTTCTACATTTATTTCACCACAATGCATCTTGCCTACCACAAAAGAATTGGTAATACTCCAGATCTTAACAAACCCATAGATAAAATCTCAAGTGACTGACCTAGATTAGATAGAATCCAAAAAAGATGCTATACTTAGTGCCTTGTGTCACCATCTAGACATTCAATTTAAATCCCAAAGTTCCTTGTGTCACCACCTTGTATATAAGTGCTATAATTGCCTGCAAAGGAACCAAACTCTTCAGAACACTAGCAAACTACTAACTAACTTGGTATGTTTCGGTTACCCTTTGCCATGAGCCTTGTAGAATGTGAAAAAAAAAATGAACCTAGCAGCAATATGCTTGTAAATCTTGGGATTTGTCGAAGCTAAGTTTCTTTTCTAAATAACCTTTTTCCTTTTCATCATTTATTTAACCAGAACACTACTAATTGATCATGAATTTCATCGGCAATACACCAGATATTTAACAACCGACAAACAAATTTCAAGCCACAAATCTAAATTAGAAAGAATCCCAAAAGATGCAATACTTAGTTCCTCATGTTACCATATGGACAATCAATCTAAATCCTGAAGTGAAATGTAGTTGTATAAGAGTCTCTAAATGCTTGCAAAGGAACCAAACTCCGCACAGCACCAGCAAACTCTAAAGTTGGTATGTTCTGGTTACTCTGTCTTAAGCCTTGTAGAATGGTGAAAAACCACCACCAAATTGCCTTACTGCAATATTCTTCCTTGTAATATTTGGAATTTCTCAAACCTAAGTTTCTGTTCTAAATAACCTTTCTTCTTTTCTCCATTTATTTTAGCAGAACACTAGTAATCCATCATAAAGTTCACTGGCGATACTCCAGATATTTGCCAACCTACAAATAAATCCCAGCAACTCACTTCGATCAATTAGAATCTAACAAGATGCAAATATGCATTGTTCTTCCTATCACCATTTGAATATCCAATAGATACCTAAAGTGCAAAATCTTTACATAAGAGTCCTGTGTATGCCTACAAAGGGCAAACTCTAGACAAATCTAAATACTACTTATCTCAATACCATGTTTTAGATTCTTAAACCTATTTTTGTAATCTCCATTTACTTCACCACAATAATACTTATTTACCATAAAATCAATGACAATACTCGAAAAATGTGTACAAACACAAGAAAAATCTCAAGTAATTCATCTAAATTAGTTAGAATCCAAAAAGATGCAGTACTTAGTTACTCGTGTCACCATCTTGACAAACCACAAGAAACCCTACTCCTACCTTGAAGTAGACGAAAATCATGCACATAGAACAAGAGAATGAAAGTGGACTTTTTAACAACAGAGCACCCCCAGATGAATTTCCATTTAAAGTATCAAATATCAATTAGTAGCAAATGAAAAGAAACCAAAGTACAATGATCAAGAAAGCAAGAAATCAAAAACAGAAAATCAAGAAACAAGTTTATCCAAAGAAACCTCAAGAAAGGAAAAATTGGGAGAAAATGGAGAACTCGGCAATAAGGCTAGAATCTATATAAACATCTAAAAGCAAACTTGGAGGGAAACGAGAGGCCAGTCATTTAAGATAAGCAGTAGGACTCTCATTCTGGAGTTCCTCATTGACAAAAGAGCGAAGATAAAAACAAGTAGAGACACTGTTGACTAGCAAATAGTATACTACCAAACCAACAACTGGGGAAACGACGCTGAAATGAAAGTGAAATACGGGAACTGGAAAAGAGAGTTGCAGCTTATGGTAAGTTATTTTTACCTTATGAGACAACTTCACCTTCTACAGTTTGCAACCATCGAAAGAGTATCTGCACCTCAAAATGAAGGCAGATGGTATACAAAGAAACCAAAAGCGGATCATGTGAACTGTCCCAAGTAAAAAAATCAAAGGCTAAGTGAGGGAAGCAACAATTTATTTCCATTTAACAACTAAAGAAATTATCATCAATTCATTCTAAGTCTTTAGCCACTGAGACAAGTCCCTGTTTTGTTTTTGAGAATTTCCATCCAAGCATCAACATCAGTTAGTATCATCCAAGATATAACAGAAAGGAATACCATCATTCAATAGGTAAACTAATACAGAAGACGCATGGGCATAACGGAAACTAAGCAACATGTCTTTCAATAAGAATTTCCAGCATAACCAAAGACAGGTGATGCAAAAACAAGCCAGAAAAGACAAAATGTATGATCCAATAGCATAAATGGACCGCGTGACAGAAAATCTAAAGTAAACTAATCAATGTTTTAAAAGTAAGCAATAAGTATTCACTAATATTTTTTGCCCCGGATAATCTAGTTGCATGACTCAAAAACTCCAAGTGGTTTAAACATATGCCTTCTATCCCTTTGCGACTTGCAAAAAAGGGACCCATAACCCATCAAATGAATAGGCATATGAGCTGGTATGCCTACAGAAATACTCAAATGCATCAGGACAGTTGATAAATTTTGAAAAATCAACTGTGTATTTCAGTAGGAATACCCCAATACATGTCAGGAAAGCAGTCTGTGAGGAACTTGGAAGCATGAAGGAAGCAGTAATGGCAAGTACTTGGGACTACCAATGGCAATAGGATGATCAAAGAACCAAGTATTTGGTTACATCAAGAGCTCAGTGACAAACAAACTAAAAGGATGGAGAAACAAAATGCTGAGCTTAGCAGGGAAGGAAGTCCTGATAAAGTCAGTGATTTTGGCATATGGCCTATTTTAAACTGCCTAAATGGACTAGGCAAGTGTATAGGGAATTTCTGGTGAAGAAGTAATCAGCAGGACAGGAAAATGCACTGGATAAGTTGGAGGAAATTATCTGAAATCAAAGGGAAGGGGAGACTAGGTTTCAGAGACTTAGAAGCTTTTAATGAAGCTTTACTTGCTAAGCAACTTTGGCAAATCATCTCTCACCCAAATCTGCTAATGAGTAAAGTGATCAAAGCAAAGTACCTCAAGGACACTAATGCTCTTGAAACCAATCCTCCTCAATCAGCTTCATGGACATGGAAAAGCATACATAGTGCATGGAGATTGTTACAAAGAGGCCTTAGGAAAAGAGTAGGAGAAGGAAGCCAGGTGAACATATGGAAGGACAGATGGGTAATGGGATCAAAAACAGGCAAAGTAACCACAAGATGCCCTCCAAACTGCCAGTTGCAAACTGTGAATCAGCTAATAAAAGATGGAAGATGGAATATAGGCATCCTGCAGGAAATCTTCAATCAAGAAGGCAGAAAGCAAATAGCCAACATGCCACTCAGTTTGTTCAAAAAACAAGATAGGTTCTTCTGGAGCTTTTCAAAGTCTGGAGTTTACACAGTGAGGACAGGCTATGCAAATGCAGTGCAGGAAAGGAGAGATGAAAGAAGAAGAGAAAGCATAGAAGAGGAAACAAGCTGGGAGATCAGAAAGCATAGCATCTGGAAACAACTTTGGAAACTAAACCTCAAACCCAAGCTGAAACACTGCATCTGGAAGTGCTCGTAGAATAGTTTAGCAGTTAAAGAAACAATCCACAATAGAACAGGCAAAGGAGACAAAATTTGCAGAGTGTGTGGAGAGGAAGTAGAAACGATGGAACACATGTTTTTTCAATGTCCAACTGCCCAAATAATGTGGAGATTAGAACCAGTGAGATAGGAAGGATTAAAGGATCTCTAAAACAACCTGTGGAGAGGTGGGAAGCAGTAGTTTAAACAGGGACAATGGTGCAGGGAATGGAACGGATCGACCTGACAGCAAACAGGTCAGTGTTCGAACAACAAAAAGGAGAAGCAAGAGAAATAATTCTAAAGGCACAACAAGAGTGGATTGAATTTGAAGAGGCAACAGGAAAAGAAAAAATGGACAAAGAAGGAGGAGCAGGTCCAAATTAGGGAGAACAGTTGGGAGAGCCACCAAAAGAAGGAATCATCAGAATCAATACGGATGCTTCTATCAGTGCAAAAATGATCAGAACAGGAGAGGGAATAATAGTAAGGAACTGGACAAGAAACATCATAAGAGCAATCGGTGTAGTGGAAACAAAGAAGGGAGGAGCTCTAATGGAAGAAACTTTAACCATTAGAATGGCACTCCAAATGGCAAGACAAGCAGTTTGGAGGAAAATAGAATCGCTATCAGACTGTAAAACAGCAATTGACCAGATCAAAAGCAACAATGTGCAGGATGGTCATATAGCAACCATTCTGGAAGACATTGATGACCTAATTCAAGGTTTTGAAATAGGAATCATTTTGCACAGTCTCTTTTGTACCTAGATCAGCTAATGTAGGAAGTCATAGGCTAGCACATTTTGTAACAAAGGTAGTTAATGACATGGAATGGGTAAACAAATTTCTAGTTTGGCTAATAGAAGCAGCCAACAATGATTGGAGGGCTGAGGCCCCTTTTTTTAATTGACCCTTGTATTTTCAAGTGTTAATATATACACCGATATTAACATTTGTGGAAAAAAAAAAGAATAGGCATACGAGCAGATAAAATAAGCCATAAAGGATAGACGGAATAGTATTCAAACCATCGGGAGTTTGTGATTCAATCACCTATATTATCTAAGGCCAAAAAATCCAGTCAGTCATCTACTGGCTTCTTTTTCATTTTTTTCTTCTTTGTCACAGTAGGTTTCAAGCATGATATAAACCTGTGCAAATAACTGGTGATCAATTTTATGCCATTTAACTTCTATAGAAATAACTGGCATTCAATTCCTTTTTGTCTTTCTTTTTTGACTTTCAAAGTGCTTCAACATAAAACAAAGAATGTCTACATCTCCCTTAAAACAGAACAAAATAGAGAGGCAGACAGAAAAATCAAAAGTGGGTCATGCATATTCTCATGAGTGAAAAATCAAAGCACAAATGAGGGAAAGCAACAATTTATTGCCATTCAACAACTAAGAAACTATCAGCAATCAATTCTAAGTCTTTAGTAACTGAGACAAGTCCATTTTCTTTTCTCTTCTTTTTGAGAATTTCCATCTAAGCAAATGCCATCATTCAATAGACAAATTACTACAGAACATGCCTGGGCAGCATAACTGAAAATAAGCTAGATGTCTTTCAGTAACTATTTCTAGCATAACCAAAGACAGCTGGTGCAAAAACAAGCAAGAAAAGATAAATTGTATAATTCAACAGTGTAAACAGACCACACTACAGAAAATCTAAAGTAAACTAATCAAAATGCTAAAAGTAAGCAAAAGTATTCACTAATATTTTTTGCCCTGGATAATCTAGTTGCATGACTCAAAAACTCCATGTGGTTTAGACATATACCTTCTATCCCTTTGCGGCTTACAAAAAAAGTACCCACAACCCATCAAATGAATAGGCATACGAGCAGATAAAATAAGCCACAAAGGACAGATGGAATAGTATTCAAACTACCAAGATCAAATAACTACTCTAATCCCTTCAAGCACGATAGAAACATGTACACATAACTGGTGAACAATTTTATGCCATTTAACTTCTATAGAAATAACTGGTATTCAATTCATTTTTTGTCTTTCTTTTTTATTTTCAACACAAAAACAAAGATTGTCTACATCTCCCTTAAAACAGAACAAAATAGAGAGGCCGACAGAAAAATTTTTAAGACCTTCAGTTTCTAGCATGTATAAACCAGACTAAAACAAATTAAATAAAACAGCAATCTACATGATCAGAACTCAATCGGAAGCAAGAATCCATAAATCTACAGCCACTTTTTGCAAACCCATGTACAGTGAAAAATTCAAAAATAATTTGGCTTTAAGTCATAATCGATATCAAATAACAGATAAATCAGTTATATGCAGCAAGAAAGCATAGAACTTGAAGAATTTCATCTCCAAGAAGGGGAAGGGGGTAGAAATAGTAAAGAGATAATACTTATCTGAAAGTGTTTCTCTCAAAAATCTTTATTCACTGCTGGAAATGAAAGCAATTCTCTTCATACAAACCTTTCTGCTCACTCTCCCCCCTCTCTCACTTCTTAGAATTTTTTGAAATGGAGAATACAACTGCGAGCTTTATGTAGAGGCTACTGGGTGCTCGTAAATGGCTAATTTTCGCTCACTAGTGAGGTCCGAATACCAACGGTGAACTCAGAAAGTTTGGTTTGGATGATTAGTTATCATAAAATGGTAACTTGGGTTGAATAGAAAATCATGCTGGAAAAGTTGAAATCCAATTGAGAGGTGTTTGTAGACAGTTGACATCGACTAATGAACTTTTTGGAATTAGGTCAGTAATGTAGACAGTAGTGAGGGCCAAAAAAATTGCAGAAGTTTAGTTCTCAGAAAAAATGAGATAGGCAAGAACAATTGGCTCCTCTAACGCTGAAGATGGTGGCACGGATAGTAATACATAAAGGGCTTTCATTAGAACAAGATTTTCAATCTAAGAATCAAGAATGCAAATATGAAGTTGATGTTGTTTGGATCAAAAGAGTTCACTTTGATGAGCTCAGACCATTGGAAGGACTTCTTAGGTCACTAACAATTTTCATATACCACTTTGTGAATTCTTGGCCTACTGTTATGTATATGAAATCTTTGCACCGGTACAAAATTGTCTGTGATATGCTATTCCATTCCCTTGTGGCTTTAGGAAATACTCATACCCAAGGAAGTGGATAGGTTTACAAGAAGATAAGATAACAAAAGGGAAATGTAACCCAAAGACAGGAGCATTTTCAGGGTAATAATTCCAATAAAAGAATTGAAGAAAGGTGAAAAGGAATATCAGACAACACAAGAAATGATGGATAGAAAAGCCTATCCCTGGGGCCTAATAGCAAGCTGAAGTTTCATCCTAGAGAAATGACTCTTGGAAGCTATATCAAAGAAACTACGATAATGTTCAATTGCATACATGAACTCCACAGAGAAAAGCTAAATTATTTTGTAGAAATCGTAACAAGACAACCTCCAAATGAACCTTGGTGCAACATGCTTTCTTGTCATTCTTCAAGATTTCTAGAATCTGAGATTTCACTTTCTAATGACACTTTTTAGATCTCCAACTTATTTCACCAGAACACTACTTATTCAACATAAGATTTGTTGACTATTTCCCAAACTCGTAACAATCTCACAAATAAATTCCAGGTAACTCACCTATTTTAATTTCAATTACCCAACACAATATCGGAATCCAACAAGATGCAAATTACTTTACTCCTCCTATCACCATCCAAATATTCAATTTAAACCCTACAAGGCAACATCCTTACTACAAGAGTCAAACTTTAACTTGCAAAGGGATAAAACTCTTCACAGTTCCACATGATACTTACTAAGCTTGCTAGATTGGTCACCCTTTGCCTTAAACCTTGTAGATTGGTCAAAAACAACCTCCAAACGAGCCATTGCAAAATTTGCATTTTTGAATCAGGATTTCCAGAACCTCAGTTTCAAATTTTATTAACATTTTTTCCTTTCCCAATTATTTCACTAGAGCACAACTTATCTACCAAAAAATCTATTGTCAATATTAAAAAATTATAACTGACAGATAAATTTCAAGTCATTCAACTACATCAGATAAAATCCAGCAAAATCTCAGAATCTAATGAGACATCATACATAGTCATTGTGTCACCATCTGAATAGCTAAACTCTAAAGTATGACGTCAGAAAGAGTCCTATACTTGCCAGCAATGGAACTAAACTCGGAACAAATATATGAATTCCACACTAAACTCAGTATGTTCTTGTCACCTTTTGCCATTAACCTCATAGAATGGTAAAAACCAACCTATAAACCTTGGTGCAATATGCTTTCTCGTAATTCTTGGGATTTCCAGAACCTATGTTTCAGTTTCTAATTAACCTTTTTATTTTTTCTCCAAAAGCACCATTTATTAAAGTCATCGACAACATTCCAGATTTTTTACAAACCCAAATAGATTCCATGGCACCTACAGGAATGCTAGAGGAGCTAATTGTATACGTATCTTCTCTTTTCTGGAGATAAAATCCAGCATTTTTTTGTCCCTCACTGCGCTAAGCATCACCCAATGCTTTCCATTAAGTTCATTAGTCTCTATTAGCAATTTACAGCCATTTCTACATTAGAATCAAAATTTTCTAATGTGATTTAGGATTATCTCTGTTGGGTTTCAATCTCTAATGATAAGTGGCACAGATCAAAAATATAACTGAGCTCAACGACTGATTGTGCAGTTTTTTTTCATTCTTCAGTCTCAAAATGTCTAAAGTCACTAGACATATTAGTCAAAGATTTTAATGTAGGCAACAAGTAAATCATTCACTTAAGAATTTTGCCCAAAAATAGTGTACTTGCGTGACTAAAACTCCATATGGTACCATCTACCCCTTTTTGGCTTACAAAAAAGAACTCATTCCCTATCTAATTCATAGGTTTATGAGTAGATAAAATAAGCCAATACGGCCAACGCCACGTCATTTAAACCATAAAAGGTCTTCAATCATGCAATTATACTATTACAGGCCAAAAAAGTTTAGTAAATAATGACTTGTAGCCTACTTTAAGCACTTTGACTAATATTTCTATTGATTTAATTATTTTCAAGCTAAAGTATGAAATAAACTGCACAATCAGTCAACGTGCTCCCCATATATTTTTGAGTCATGCCAATACCATATGAGAATGAAACCCAGTGGAGAGAATAGAAAAATCACGCTAGAAAATTTGAAATCTAACTGCGAGGTGGTTTTAGAGAGTAGATATAGACTAATGAACTTACCGGGACTAAGTGGGAAATGCCTGCAGTAATGAGGGCCCAAAAAAATTGCAGGATTTTAAATCCCAGAAAAAAAGGAGATAGACATGCACAATTGGCTACTCTAGCACTAAAGATGGTGCCATGGATGGTAGTAACTAAAGGGCTTTCATTAGAACCAAATTTTCAATCTAACAATTAAGGAAGCAAGTTTGTGATGGATGTTATTTAGGTCCAAAAAGTTCATTTTATGTGTTTAGACTATTGGAAGGACATCATAGGTCAACTAATGGTTTTTGTATACACTTTGTGAATTCTTGGCCTATTCACATGGATATGAAATCTCTGAAAGTGTACAAAAGTGCTTGTGAAATGCTATTCTACTCATACCCCATGAAGTGGATAAATTACGGGAAGATAAGATAAGGTATAAAAGGGAAAATGGAATAGCACCTAAACTGAGGGCTTTGCCTAAGACATGTTACCCAAAGACAAGAGCACAAGCAGAGTAATAATTCCATGAAAATTTGAAGACAGGTGAAAAGGAAAATTAGACCCAAAGACAGGAAATGATGGATAGAAGGGGACATCCCTCCGGGGTGACAGGAAGCTGAAATTTCTTCCTAGAGAAATGACTTTTAGAAGCTATATGAAAGAAAGTACGACAATGTCCAATAATCTACATGAATTCCATAGAGAAATGTAAAATTATTTCGAAGCATCAATTATGTCATGATACTGGTTGTCCCCAAATTATCTTTTTGATGTAACTTCTTAAGGGATCATAAGTATCAAGGACGCCTACTGGAGAGAATAGATAATCAAGCTAGTAATCTGAAAGTTTAGAAGGATGCTGTTACCAGTAATAACTGTTTCATGTTATTTAACCCGTGGAGGAATAGTAATAAATCAACTACAGCCATTTAAAGGGGATCAGGAAATTTCTTTTTATCTTTTATAATCATTTCAGCAAAAGCAGAATGTTTAGTGGATATCCATCTAAACAAGGGGAAAAAACCCAACCCTATAAGAAGAGTTCTAAAATCATGTACTTCAAGAAGTATATCTTTCTATTTCAATTTCTAAAATGTGAGGTGTTGATCACTGACAGTTGAATAAGACAAGGAAAAGCTGGAGAAAAATAGAAAAACTCATGAAGCACTACTCCTACCTTGAGCTTGAAGTAGACGAAGATCATACATAAAGAATGATAGAATGAGAGTAGGCTTTTTAACAACAATGCATACCCAGATGACTTCCCCTGCAACGTATCAAAGATCAAATTCCTAGCAGCTGAAAAGAAACCAAAGTATAAATCAAGAAAGCAAGAATTCAAAAACAGAAAATCAAGAAACAAGTTTATCCAAATAAACCTCATGAAAGGAAAAATTGGGAGAAAATGGAGAACTCAACAATAAGGCTAGAATTTATATAACCATCTAAAAGCAAACTCGGAGGGAAAAGAAATCATTCACTTAAGATAGACTGGACTTTCATTCAGGAGTTCCTCATTGATAAAAGAGGGAAGATAAAAACAAGTAGAGACACTGTTGACTGGCAAATAGCATACTGCTAAACCAACCATGGGAAAAACCAATATGAAGATGAAATGAAAGTGAAGTACGGGAATTGGACAAGAAAGTTGCAGTTTGGTAAGTTATTTTTGCCATAGGAGACAACCTCTTACAGTTAAACATATTTCTGACTCTTGTAACTTACAAAAGAGTACCTGTACCTCAAACTGAAGGCTGATGGTATACAAAGAAACCAAAAATGGGTCATGAGGATTCTCACAAGTGAAAAATCAAAGCATAAATGAGGGAAAGAAACAATTTATTGCTATTCAACAACGAAAGAAACTATCAGCAATCAATTATAAGTCTTTAGTAACTGAGACAAGTCCATTTTCTTCTCTCTTTTTTTTTGAGAATTTCCATCTAAGTGAATACCATCATTCAATAGACAAATTACAACAGAAAATGCATGGGCAGCATAACTGAAACAAAGCTAGATGTCTTTCAGTAAGTATTTCAAGCATAATCAAAGACAACTGGTGCAAAAACAAGCAAGAAAAGATAAATTGTATAATTCAACAGCGTAAACAGACCACACGACAGAAAATCTAAAGTAAACTAAATCAAAGTACGAAAAGTACGCAATAAGTATTCACTAATATTTTTTGCCCTGGATAATCTAGTTGCATGACTCAAAAACTCCATGTGGTTTAGACATATTCCTTCTATCCCTTTGCGGCTTACAAAAAAAAGTACCCATAACCCATCAAATGAATAGGCATACGAGCAGATAAAATAAGCCATAAAGGACAGATGGAATAGTATTCAAACTACCAGGAGTTTGTGATTCAATCACCTATATTATCTCAGGCCAAAATATCTAGTCAATCATCTACTTGCTTCTTTTCATTTTTTTTCTTTATCAGAGTAGGTTTCAAGCATGATATAAACATGTGCAGATAACTGGTAATCAATTTTATGCCATATAACTTCTATAAAAATAACTGGTATTCGATTCCTTTTTGTCTTTATTTTTTTATTTTCAAAGTGCTTCAACATAAAAAAAAAAAAAAGAATGTCTACATCTCCCTTAAAATAGAACAAAATAGAGAGGCAGACAGAAAAATTCTTAAGACCTTCAGTTTCTAACATGTAAAAATCAGCCTAAAAAAATTAAAGGAAACAACAATCTACACCATCGGGACTCAATTGGAAGCAAGAAGTATTCACTAATATTTTTTGCCCAGGATAATCTAGTTGCGTGACTCAAAAACTCCATATACACCTTCCATCCTTTTGCGGCTTACAAAAAAAGTACCCATAACCCATCAAACGAATAGGCATACGAGCAGATAAAATAAGCCATAAAGGACAGAAGGAATATTATTCAAACTACCAGGAGTTTGTGAATCAATCACCTATATTATCTAAGGCCAAAACATCTAGTCAATCATCTACTGGCTTCTTTTCATTTTTTTTTTATTTATCAGAGTAGGTTTCACGCATGATATAAACATGTGCAAATAACGGGTAATCAATTTTACGCCATTTAACTTCTATAAAAATAACTAGTATTCGATTCCTTTTTGTCTTTATTTTTTGATTTTCAAAGTGCTTCAACATAAAACAAAGAATGTCTAGATCTCCCTTAAAATACAACAAAATATAGAGGCAGATAGAAAATTCTTAAGACCTTCAGTTTCTAACATGTAAAAACTAGCCTAAAAAAATTAAAGGAAACAACAATCCACACCATCGGGACTCAATTGGAAGCAAGAATCCATAAATCTAGGTCTTCAGCCACTATATGCAAACCCATGCAGAGGGACAAATTCACACATAATTTGGCTTTAAGTCTTAATTCAAAGCAAATAACAGATAAATCGGTTATATGCTACAAGAAACCAGGGAGCTTGAAGAAGATAAATCAGTTATATGCAACAAGAAAGCACGGAACCTGAAGAATCTCATCCCCAGGAAGGAGGGAAAAACAAAGAAACAGTGAAGAAACAATACTCATCTGAAAACGTTTCTCCTCAAAAATCTTTCTTCATCGCTGGAAAAGAAAGCAATTCTCTGCGCAAAAATCAAATTCGTCCCCCAATTTTCTGATTTCTCTGCCCTCTCTCTCCCCGCTCTCTGTTTTGAACTTTTGGAAAGTGAGAAGACAAGCGCGAGCCCTATATATAGGCTGCTGGGTGCCGCCAAACGGCTATTTTTCGCTCGCTCGTGTGGTCGGAATACCAACGGTAAACGCCAACGGATGGATTAGTTACCATAAATTGGTAACGCAGATTGGGCTACTTGTATTTAGCATACGACAGACGGGTTTGGTATCAGATATCATTTGCCTAACCGGGCTTGAGCACTCATTATGGGCCTCAGATTGTATATTCTTAAAAAGAAGCCGTATATGTTAACCCAAAAAAAAAGTGACAAAATATAAAGAAGTGATCAATCTATTTTCTAAATTATTCAATATTTCTTAACATTATACAAATAAACACTCAGTAGAAGTGACTTAGATACATAGTGGTTAAGGCGCACCTAATGTGTGTGCTACTAATAAAAAGATATTAAAAATAATTAGTATTATTTTTATTGAAAAATAGTAATTTAAATAATTACAGTGCCGTAGTATTTTAAAAAAATGATAGTTTTTAGTTAGATGAGTGATAGTTAATTCAGTAGACCTAGAACGGTTATAGGGAGATGAGTAGTTCAAATGATGCAATTTTGTTTTAGAAGTAAGGGTTGTGAGAGCTTGAAAATTTCATGTCTTATTTAAAAATTAAAGCATGTTACATTTTTCCTTTTGTTATTGATTGATTCACATGTTTATTGCTTCTTTTAATAAACAAATTACTCGATACACCTTAAGAGGATTTGTACCCCTTACACCATAAAACGTTAGTATTAGTTAGAATCTGTTGTGGTATTAGGAAAAAAACCTGGAATACATTTGTCCTAATGCATATAAATTTCTAACGTACTTTAGAAAATTTGGGCATCAATTCAAGGGAGGTATAACTTCTTTTATCTTTTTTGTCTCTCCTATGTGATCCAATGTGCTACGTGAAAATTGCATGTCTACTTGCTTCCCTCGTTTTTCTTTAATTCCTTTCATTTACTTCATTTACTTTTGCTTTTTATTTAAGTTATTCTTTATGGGGTATGTGTACACCTCTTGGCTTGTAATAGATAGGGCTTGGAAAGCACTCGATGAAGACCTATTGAAGACGTGTGCCTAGCTAGCAAATGTAATAGGTCCATTAGCTTGATTGCTTACTTTTATTGCTATGTGTTAATTTGCTTTATTAGGTTCTTGCATCTAGTCGAGCATGCTAAGTGTTATGTGCTACATGTTTACGAGTGTTTGGCATGTCTACTCGCTTTCCATAGCCATGAATGAATGTGATGGATGAATGTACGTTTCCACTAGTCCAACGCTAGTAGGAATTCATAGAATGGGCTAGTCCAACGCTAGACCCAATAGGCCATCCCCCTTTTGTTAGTGCACACTTGCATGTTCACTACATGTCATGCATTTTTCTTAGTTTTATCATTTGGCATGCTCCTCGAACCCCTTTTCCCCTCGTTTTAGGATTTTTACACCTCATGCTAGTTATAGGGTACATTTGCTTGAAGAGTCCCCTTTCGATAAGGGAAACGAGCGAGTGTGGCTACAAAATAGCCTTAGCACGCTAGTTCTTCCTTCTAATCAAAGGGAAATTGAGTTGGGCTCTTTTTTCTTTTTTTTTTTTCTCTTTGACTGACCAAGGTTGTAATCCTGTGCTGTTTTTATTGCTTATATAGAATGCATCAGCAGCCGTTGATGGTAGTGGCGGAGTCAATGTGTTTCAGTTAGTTCAAGCTCATCAGGTTTGTCTTAGTTACTTGATTGCACGCTAGAATTCTTCTTCTCGTCATCTGAAGTTGATAGCTTTCGTCCTACTCTTCGGTTTTATTTAATTAAGATGAAAGATGCCTGATTAATTTGCAGGAGAAGGCTGCTAGGCTGCCTCCAGTTGAAGAAATAAAGACACTTCTTCATCACAGCTTGCGTGCCATGCTTTCCACCCTCTCTCTGGTCTGCTTCCCCATTACTGTTTCTTTCTTACTCATTCTCCTTTTTTTTCTGAATTTTTAATTTGCCTTTCCCTTGATCTAACAAATATGCAAAAATGTCTGAAATCCCTTCCTACTCATAGATTTAGGAGTATATTGCTGGTTTTTGAATAGATGCTCTTATTGTTAGTCTTTTAACACCATTTAGTAATGTTATTAGAAAAAAAAAAAAAAGATAAAACGTACCAGGCATCATTCTTCAAAGTTATTGCATTTTGCTTTTGCAAGAACAGAGCACAAGTTTCAGTAACTTTACCTGATCACTTTAGGCTTGCACTGCTTCCGTGTGTTGACGAAGTTGTCTGTTACTCACTAAATCACAGCAATCTGTGTATTGAGTGCAGAAGCATGAAGGTTACCCATCAGGATCCATGGTCGACTTTGCCTGTGATGCTTACGGATCTCCAATTTTAGCAGTCAGCAACTTAGCTGTTCATACCAAGGTCTGCAACAAAATCTCTCAAGAATGTTATGACTAAGAAGTTCTCAGCTATATCTCAATAGATGTATTGTTTGCAAGTGAAGAGTCTATCTATTTGGTTGCATGCACTTTTTGTTGGATAATGTGGCACCTCATGCTTGAATACGGTTAAGGGGCTTGTTCTCAATTGCTTAAATTAGCTGTCCAACTTGTTGCCATCTGTTAACTTCTAAGTGTTCTCCTTTGTCTTTAGCTTCAACCTATAGTTTATTCCCTTATCACTCTGACTTTGAAAAGTAACATTGGAAGTGTTTCAGCAAACAACTTTAAGGTCTGCAACTGTTGACAGGAGAATACCCATTTAGTTTATAAACTGGCTTTTTCAAGAGCCACTTTGTATAATCAAAAATCAAACAAGAAGTTATCTTGATCAAGATGTAATCATCCAATTAGCTAGTTGAATATGGAACGTAAGGCATCTTCTTAACAATTCTGTTGTATCATCTTGATTTAAACTGTACCTGCTACTGTCACAGACTTTACATTATGAGTTGCTCCTTCCTGCAGGATCTCTTGGCTAATCCCAAGTGCTCATTGCTTGTAGCAAAAGACCCTGCTGACAGGACTGAGATAGTGATAACAGTGCATGGTGATGCTGTCCCTGTGAGTGGCAACTTTTGGTTCATGCTTCATCTTTCTTAATTAAACTTCAAGTACTCTATTCTTTTCTCATTCTTGATGCACTGAGTTGTGTCATCTCCAAGTTATAGCAAAGTTTAAATTCACCGTAAGCAATGGTGTAGGTTGCAGAAAATGATAAAGAAGCTATTGGTACTGCATACTTGGCAAGGCATCCGGATGCATTTTGGGTAATGTTTCATTCTGATGTTAAGTTCCCTATAATCAACAGGTGATAATTTGACTCAGGCAGCAATTCTTTTGCAGGTTGACTTTGGTGATTTCCAATTTCTGCGTATTGAACCCAGAGTCATACGATATGTCTCAGGTGTCGCAACAGCTGCATTGGGTTCAGGAGGTTAGTTTACAATTGAGCTCTTAAAGCCTTCATTTTTTGTTGTTTTTGTCCCTGTCTTGAGGATATGTACACGCTGTTCTCATCTAGATTATCAATTCAAGCTTTTTTTTTGAATAACAAGTTTCTTTATCTTCTTTAATTACTTTCAGAATTTAGCCCGGAGGAGTTTAGATTAGCAAAAGTGGATCCCATTTATCAGTTTTCCAAGCCTATTGCGGTATAACCTTCTAATTTGCCTCGTTTGCATTTTTCATCTTGTCATTTTGTGAACTGAGCTAAATCTTGTTTGTGCTGCGTGGCAGTCTCACATGAACAAGGATCATGGAGAAGATACAAAACTTATTGTGCAACACTCAACATCTATTCCGGTAATATGTGTTAGTCTATATTTAGTTGTGTGGGTTGCAGAATTCTTAAACATCTCAATGACTCTAGTTTTCGGTCCACCAAAATTTTGCTAGAAAAGCTTGCTTTTCCAGCAAAACGAATAGTGGGATTTCTTAACTGTATGTTTTCATATCGCCCTTTTGTTGATTTGTCATGTCTGAGTTAAAAAAAAAAAAAAGGATCTCCAGCTTCTCTTTCTTGTGGTTGAGTGTGACATTACTAGGGGTCAAAGGCTATTAAAAACTGAATGTTACGTACGTTAAAAGTTTCCTCCACTGCAGACTTTGTAGCACCGGTTCATATTGTACCAATATGAATGTAACTTTAAGTTTGTTCTTCTCTAGGTTGATTTTGCTCACATACTGGACGTAGACAGCCTTGGTTTCAATGTCAAGGTGATTTTGAGTTTTTCAATTACTGTTTCATTCACCTTCATATAGTAATACTTTTCTCTTACATGTTAAACGGTCATAAAGATGTGGGGCTTAGAAGTTATGAACCTCTTTACGTTGAACGTCTTGTATGGTAATTGCTGGTATCCCTGGAACATAGGATACCTCATGGCAAAATGGCCAAAAAAAGTTTACTCTAAATTAAAGGTTCTTTCTACTCACAATATCTGTTTGGCTTTGTCTCTTTAGGCTGGCTATCAAGGGAACACTTTAAAGCTTCGAATCCCTTTTACTAGACGTGCTACAGAGAGGAAGTGAGTCGTTCAATTTCTGATTAGCTGCAATCCCATGCATGATTGATACAGCTATTTGTTTTCTTTGCTGGAAGTAGGAGGCTGGCCATTTAATTTCTGATTAGCTGCAATGGCATTCATAATCAATACAGATATTTGTTTTCATGTTTTGAGATTGTAGTTTGACATGGTATAATATCATAATGTGGCTAAAGGATTGAGATTGTCATTGGATATAAAGAGTTGGTGAATGATTGTGTCGAGCAAAGATTTACATGTGAATATAGGAAGCAGAAAAAAAAATCTGCAGCTAGAAGTATCGAAAAGCATGGATTTTCCAGGCTATCACTTAATGTGGAAAAGGAAAGGAGTTATTGCCATTTTCTGCGAAGTTGCTTAAACTAGTGGTTTAGCTGATTCTAATTTTAAGGTGCCCATATGCATGTATTTAAGTTGAAAGGTATACGTAAAAGAAGGAAAATATTTCAAATTATCTGTTACTCTCCAGAAAGGATTCTCAATGTCATCAAGTGCCCTTATGTTTCATTCATTCTGTAATACTGATACCAAAACCTGGTTTTTCTTTTTAAAAGATTCTTTTTTCTTCCCCATATAAAAACTGAGTGAGCTGTGCCTTAACTGGCTCCATATGAACTGGATTAAGTGGAAACTAATCTGCTTGGTAATTTGCACTCTTTCCTTGCACATAAATACTTCCCCATACTTTCAGCAGTTAGTACTAAGCTCCAGGGTGCTGGGTAGGCACACCTTTGTAGCGGCTATCCGTCTACTGATGGTTGCTTCTATTAGACAGTTGAAAGTAGAAAGATGTACACAAATCAGTTTTATTTTGCTCTGCATCTTTTGATACCAGATCATTCTTTCTTCACATTGAAATACATTGTTAACTGTCAAGTCATAGGTTTAATAGTGCCACTATTATTGAATGCATGTGATTGCAGAACTTTGGTTTCTGATTATTTAATTATTCTGGCCAATAAACTTAGGCTTTGAAAATGGCTTCTGATGCCAAGTTTCTCTTTTTATGACAGAACACAAAATAGCATCTTAAGATTGAATGTAGCTAAAAAGAATTCATTCATTAGTTTCTTCTGATTCTAGGAGTCTTGTAAATGACGTCAGATTTCATGAGATAAAGTTCACGTGCCTTTTGTAAAGTGGTATTAGTTTTACTGTATGTTTAAATAATCCTTCTGTACTGGGCAAAATTAGTCTGCCCTTATCATGGTTTTTACCTTCATGAGAAGTTCTTTTATGTAGTCTTTTTTTTATCTTTTTCAGGGATGTAAAAACTCTCATAGTTGAAATGCTTGACGCAGCTAAGAGCCAAGCCAAGTGACTCCGCAGAAAAGAGTATAGCATATAGGAACAAGGTATGAACTTTAAATTTCTGCAAGTGTATCTGTTTGCTTTTAGAGTCCTCCACCATCTAAACGCCTCCTTTTGTTTCTACTGTGGCATGTCAAATTGTTTTTCCTTTACAATGGGCATATCGATTAAGTATATTGTAAATTGGATGTCACCACAATATCATGGCTAATTACAGATTAAGTCGAGAAAAAAACAAATTTCGGACATGTACCGGATCTGACAAACTTCTGCGTAGGCAGTAATCTATGGTAGCCGGGTCCGTGTCGCCCGGCACCCACGTCATTGCCAAAGTTTTTTTTTGAGCTTCTGACACATATTGTTCAGCCCGTCCCAGAAATGTTTTTTTTTTTAAAGGCTGTTGGCGTAACGCGGGCTGACAATGTCCGTCGTAGGCGCACAAGGCTGAGAAAAAGCTGGTCTGCGGGGCAGAGAGAGCCGCGCAAGCCAGTTAAATTGCTCATAAAAAAAAAAAAAAAAAAACAGGCTTTCAACAAAACAGCACTTTGACTTAAAAATAAAACAAAGTCACACGCCAAATGGCATTAAATCTTGAAAACTTCTGCAATAACATATAGCCAGGCTCTTTTTCGGGTACCCAAACCATCTTGTTTGCTGAGATTGATAAGTGCTGCATAAATACAGTTTTGCTTCTGCTGTTCTACTAAAAGTGGGTTGTCACAAGCATATTAAGCTACCCTTAAAATTTCTATTTTTGCACTACAGAATTTTCTTTTTATTTAAGCTCATTATTTCAAATATAAAAATAAATTAAAAATATAAAAATGTACCTGACGGTCTATTGGATCTGTAACCTGCTGTCGTGAATTCAATGCAAGGGTACTGGGATTGAAGCCTCGGTGCTGAAAAGCTTTCTTCAGATGCCGTCGAGACCGCTTGTATTTTTTTTTTTTTTTTGTAAGGCAATGAGCTGTGCTGCCCGGCTCTCTCTGCCCGCAGCCAGCTTTCCTCAGGACCTTGTTGCTACGCGGGGCATTGCAGCCCTGTACCAAAACCTTTAAAAAAAAAAAAAATTTCTGGCCTGCTGGCTGACACATTGTGTCAGAGCAAAAAAAATTGATGAATTTGGTGGCCTGGGCTGACTACGGCCGCGGTACCCATAAATTTGTAACCGCAGAAGTTGTCAGATCGGTACATGTCGCGAATTTTTTTTTTTCTCAACCATAATCTTGAGTAATTAGCCCAATATCATTAGGATTTATGCTAGGGGCTGCAAGTAATATTCTGTGGTGAAGGTTTTGCTAACATAATGTAGTAATATATGCAGTGCAATGTTATTGTGGACTAGGGGCTACAAGTGTGCTGTTCATCTGGTAAGCTACTTGTGTTAGAAGAAGCTTGTTAGGTAAAAAACAAACCCAGCTTGGATCATATTTTCAGCTATATATATAATATTGAAGTTGCATTAATCTCTAAGTAGATAAGTTTTAATCAACTGTAGCAGATGATCTTGTTGAATTCAGAGTATCAGCGATGTGCGTAATATTTGTGATGATTGGATCAAGAAGCACATAAAAGCATATAAATACTCCCAATTCAATATTGAACATAGGATTTGCTGTAAAAGGAGAAATTGAAGCCAAATAGAACTTCAAATCAATTTGATGCTGTCTTCTATCTATGCAGGAAAGGCAAGCATGTAAACCATGATTTGTCAGAGTCAAAGGAGAGAGCAAAATACACAGGCCTTCGAACTTCTCTGATTTTCTTTATATTAAGTAGTAGTAGATAATTGTGGCATGAGCTTTCTACTTGGGTCTGCAAGGCTTCTTCGCTCTGATAGGCAAACCAGAGTATTGTGGAAATAAGAAAATAGTTGTTTCATGTAAACATGTTATATCATACATCCGGCGGTGGTAACTCTGAATGATAGTAAAAATCATGGGAAGCCGCTTCTCTATGTATATAATGATATGCTCCATAAGAATTTGTCTTCCTTTTTTTCTTGTTTAGTGATGGTGGCACAGGAGTATGGTTGGTTAGAGATTTGTTTCTCTTTCGAGGAATTGCAAATTGTTATGAACTTGAGATCGACGGAATGGCAAGGTTGTACTGCTAAGTCGCAGGATAAGATGTTCTTGGCACTCGATTGGTAAATCAAAATGTTGTATTGTTGACAATTTGTTATCAATCTTTGGTGAACGTCCAAATGGTTAACCTATACAACGGTAAAGGGGGCAAATAAATAATAGCTTGGTGATATATTTAGCAAAGGAAACTAGTTGACAGGGTATGCCTATGAATGCAGCAAATTTGACCAGTAACATCAAGGTATGATTTTGGCTTTTGGGTGAGGAGGCAAACTTCAAATGAATGGGAATGAACCCTCCACGTTCCTGTGGAGAGGCGGGCACTGGACTCTAACGCAGTAATCCTCCATATTTGACCGAATACGTAAAAAAATTACTTTTGCGGTTCTCTCATGGAACACATTTTTAGCAATCCAAAAACACACCCCAAGAGGAAAGTCGGACGAGAACAAAGTGCTGTGTCGAAGAAAAAAATCCTTAGTTTTAGTTTAAAGGGGAAGGAAGTCGAATGCAAAAAACCCTGTCGACAAATGTGTAGTCTTGAGAATGACGGCCGCCACAGATAAAGTGTCAAATAAATACGCGCAGAGGGCAAAGTTTGACCGATTTGGCTTGGTACCAAAATAGAAATTTCTCATTGAAAACAGCAGGAGTACGTACTTTACTAGTTAACAATATATAAAACCTTGTTGGGCTCTCAACCTAGGTTAGGGAGTCAGATGTAAAACGGTATCCTTCCATCTAATACCCTATCTCTATCCCTATCTAGCTGGCTGCTGCCGCTGCTTACATAGCATACCCGCTTCCGCAGAGTCCAGGTCAGGGCTCTCACCCGACCAAAGGCCAATCCACACCGCCGGCCGACAAACAACAAAGAACCAAAAAATTTTCAGGTTAATCAAGGAAGCTCAGCTTCTGAATTGCAGAAACAGGCTCCTTCCTCCTCATCTATCTCCTCGTCTCCTCCATTCAATCAATCTGAATCGCTTTCAACGTTGCCCATGGCCTTCAATCCTCTTGGCCTCTGCATCAACAAGCAACACATGTACCCCAAATCAACAAAAGCAATATAGCATATAACTACAGTACTAGTAATCATCTCTTCCTACCAATCCGAGGCTTAAATGGTCACCTCGTAATCATATCATATCACCCCATATATTGCGCTCTTTTCCTTTTTCAGCCACACGAGAGGTGGGGAAAAAGAAAAAGATCCCATTTAAGTTCCAACCATGCCCCAGTCCACAGGCCAGTTACCATTTTAAAGTTAAAAAAAAAAACAGTTCTTTCCTCGTGTCCTAATCTTCCAAACGCCCCCAGCCGCCGCCGCCGCCATAACTACAAGTCCCTCATCCCTTATCCTCCCGCCATCATCCCTCCTCCGTTTCTCCCAATCTGTCCTAAAGGGAACCCAACCAAAACAGTGAAAGGGAAAGAGACAGAGTAGCAATCGTACCTTCTTAGAAATCTTCTTCTCCCGGACCTCATACCTCTCCAAGGACATGTCCGTTAACCAGGCTCCTGGGCTCACCAACTGCTCAACCAACCATGTAAGAAAAAGGTCAACCATCAAAAGAGTTCCTTCTTTTAACCAAACCAAACCAAATTATGTAGCTGTAAAAGGGAACAATTTTTTAAAATATATATAATTTTTTCAAAAAAAAAAAAAAAGGGGGGGGCTTACAAGTAGAGTTCTTTGGATGACTTTTGCCCTCTTCTTAGGCCTCTGAGGAAGTTTACAACCTTTCATGGCCATAAAGTCTTCTTCTTTTTCTTTGCTCGACAGAGCAACATAAAGCTTTGGCCATACCGGAGCTACCGCTGCTCCTCCTCTGCTGCTGCTGTTGTTATGACCATTAATACTATTATTGTTGTTATGGCCATCCCCACCAGAAATTCCTGCTGCACCAGCACCGCCATGGCCGTCCACTACTAGATGATTGACCTTCCCACCATAATTGTCCTCCAAATTCCCCACCACTTGCACTGATCCTCTCGTCGTGTAAGACCTATCCTCCTCCGGCGACACCCTCCGGTGGCTCTCCGATCTCAGCGTCACTGCCGGCTCTGCTGAATTCCTGTTTCGTAACACAAGACACCAGATCAAATACTACCCATGTCTCAGGCCCCTTCTTTTTCCTTTCCTTTTTTCTTCTATCAAAAAAGAAAAATGAAACCCCCTGCCCCCCCAAAATTGAAAACTCATCGAACATGCAAGATTTTACATTTCCACTGAAATTTTCCATTAGACTAAGAATTCAATTGGCCTTAATTTTCCAAACCCACCCCAAAGATTCACAAGAAAAAGCTTCTCTTTTTTTTTGTCATCCCCTTCTATAGGATTTGCTCCAAAATTCTCTGCACTCATCCGGAATGTTTGAATTTTGTCAGTAAAAAAAAAAAGAGATGTAAACAATACCTTGTGAGGCGAGAGGGCGGTTGAGTAAAAGATGATTGCTTTTCATCATGGGACGAGACAGAAAGGAATCTAGAAGAAGTGATTCTGCGGCGAATTCTAGTAGAAGCAGTGGTGGCAGAAGAGAGGTCAGAAGCAGAAGAGGATGAAAGGTGGTGGTGGTGGTGGTGGTGGTAAGGGGGACTAGTGTTGCTTCTGATTCTCACACATCGGAGTCTTTTTCTGTTACCCCACTGCAAGAAGAATTCTGTTTCCGGTGGCGTCGTCATCATACTCGCCCCCCTCTCATTCTTCTCTTCCTTCTCCATCTGCGTCTCTTTTTAACTGAAACACACCAATCGAAAGAAATGATGAGAAATCAGAGAATTCCCCAGAAAACCATTAAGAAGACTGAAGAATCAGTTAAATTACGACTAAGATCTGAGCGTTCAGAACGGACGAATTCACAGAAACCCCAATCCTGCAAATCCTGAGCATACAGAGAAGAAGAAGAAGAATATCAGAGAGCCTGATGGGAAAATGCAAAGAGTAAGCAGATTGGTAATATTTAAAACGAAAGCTTGCCTTACAATCTGAAGAACCTCCAAACCCCCCCAGAAAAAAAAAAGATTCTTTTTTTCTTTTGCCCAATTCGGAGATAACCCCAGATATCAAAATCAAAATCTCTTCCGTTTTTTCCCCTTCTCGACTAGGTAATATTGTTCAAATGCTTAGATGGGCAAGCAACATGTGGAGGTTTCTTCCCCCCTGAGAGTCTGTTGGTGCTGTGTTAAGACTGTTGGAAGAAACAAGTACAACAACAAAACTATTTATGAAGACGAAGAAATGCAGGCAGGCAACGAGGAAGGAAGGAAGGAAGAGGAAAGGAGAGAAGAGAAGAGGGGAGAAGAGGCTTTTGGTGGCTTCTTTGTTTTGCTTTCTTACTTCTTCCTCCCCTTATGCTGCTGCTAATGCTATCCCCTTTTAATCTTCATTAACCCAAAATATATTACTACTACATAATGCCCAAAACGAAACTCTGCACTCAGAAGATGAGGAAACCTGTCAAGTAATGGTGACCGTAGGATTTTCTCATCCTACGGTCCACGATTCAGGAAAAAGTGCCCACTACAACGACAAATGGGAGTATCAAAGAAATAGCCTTCCCTCGTCGGTAGTCGTTGGACCTCCGCGTGAACTTAATTGGACGGAGTTTTGGATCATTCACGATTTTTGGGCTGAAGGTTACGGCTTCTGTTTTCTTTGACTTAACACCATGGGCTTCCAGCACAAGAATTTGTAACTCGAAGGCTCACCCAAAATTTTTTTTTTTTTAAAAAGAAGGCTCACCCATAGTCTAATCTCCCCTTCTTGGACCACTTTTGGGCTTTCTCAGACAGTTTTAAGCATTTTTTTTTCTTTGTTTTGTGATTATTATTATTAGTTTGGATGACAATACTACAATAGGGTTGGCAGCAAAGATATAAGAAGATTTTATTCATTGATTGGTAACACCATGGAATGGATGGTGAGCAAGTGATCAATTGACTTAGAGCCATGATTTTATGCTAAAAAAAACATTTTTTTTGTTTGGATTGAAGTTTGTTCTCAGAAAATTTTTTACGTTTTCTGTTATCATATCTTTCAAACACCTTTTTACCTCACGTACATCAAATCGTTACAGTATATATTTCTACTAAAAATTCAGAAAAATGGCAATCCGAACGAGAAGTTATCAAGCTACCATACTAACTCAAGGATTCACCTTCACCGTTCACTAGGGGTATATAATATGGATTTCCATCTCAGAGCGCTGTCTGCTACCAAATGAACTAGTACATGAGAGCATTAGGTTTTTCATTAATCACAAGCTCAGACATAGACATTATTGTATATCCTTACAATTTTGACTTAGATGATCGTGTTGTATTGACAAGGAAGCAAGGAGTAATGGGTACGTCTTTTTGGTAGTTGGTACATTTGCCTAACTTATTTAGAATTTTGGCCGGTCCCTATTGGGATTCGATATAAAGCTTTTTAAAAATTACTTTGCGCAGATTATGGAGAAGACGATAATAAATTAAGCTCATTCCAACCTGCCCCGACAAAGATGTTAGGTCATTTGTTCAATCATTGCCTGGCATTGCAAGTGGTTAATCCAACGCTTCTAATTCAACTGAACCGTCTTTGTATGGAGAATGTGTTACTAGTGCAACCATTCAAATGAGTGAGCAAGCTGATTGGGGATTGAGAGGAGGCGGTGAGGAGAACTATATGTTGACCGAGTTTTGAAAAATAAAATGGGAAAATTAATATGCCTCTTTGTAATTGTAGGAGAGTGATCATATTATATGATCGAAACTTTCAACCTTATCACGGGTAGAGGAGAAAATGTTTTGACGCTTAGTTGAGCTATGAGTCCTATTAGGGGTATAATCGAGTCGAGTTGAGCTAAAAAATTTGGATTTGAGTTCGAACTCGATTTTATTTTGAACTATTCGAACTCGAGCTTGTACTTGTCAAACGTAATCGAGTTTATTTCGAATTCAATCGAGTCTAACCAAACTTAAAAAATATAATTTTATATTTTATACAATTTTAAATAAGGAACAAAGTAGACATTTCATACTAATAAATAAAAAATTAAAAAAAAAACATATATGTATATGTGGAATTCGATTGAGCTCGATGGAATTTCGAGTTTTATATATTAGGTTTGAATTCGACTCATTACGTAGTTTGAATTGCTCGAACTCGAGTTCGAACTCCGTCAATATGAGTTCGACCTCAAGATTTGACCAAACAAATTCGCGAACACTATTCGATTGAATTCGATTTGTTTGCATCTAGGTCAACGGAATAAAACACTAATAACTTTGGGGTAAGAACATTATTATTATTGTCGTGTACAATACATTGGTTACAAAGCCAAGCAAATATGTGTGGCTGCCAACTAATATCACATTTTCTAAGTTTCATCGACTCCAAAATTATAGCACTGCCGTTTTCAAATTAGAAGGAGAGTACAGGCATGATTTGGTGCAATTCCTTGCAGCTTACAATGGTGGAGGCTCAACATGAACAGACCCTATATAACACTGAAGGAGTTTGTTTTGATATTGAAATTCTTCCAACCCAGCAAGCATCTCTGCAGTCCATAAATGAATACTCTCTAAAATATCTTCATTCAACAACAGCGAAAGTAGTGATTGACGAACGATGACTAATATATAATAATAGGTAGGACTGGAGCGAGTACTTAGGACAGAATAACACGAATTCAACCTCAGAACACGCTGCAATGTGGATGGATACACTCGGGCGGTCGTCTGTGCTCAATCATTATGGTCCGTCCGTATGATATTTTTATTGTTATTCAAAATTTTTAAAGAAAGAAAGAGAAGAGCAATGGGATTAGCAATCGTGAAGGCTGGCTGCTGCTGTTGGTTGATCTGCAGGAGGAGGGGCACATATTGATAGTATCGTTACTAGGACTGTCAATGGAGTCGAACCAACCCGAGTTCGACTCGTTTGGCATGACAAAAAATTTGATGAACCAGATCTTTCAGCGAGTCGATCTGAATTTGAATCTAAAAATTATATTCGAATTAAATATGAGTTGAAATTGGATCTTATTAGATTCAAACCCGATATTGGTCCGATTCTTTAATTACGTATATATATAATATTTATATTTTGATATTATATATAATTATATATCCAAATATATTATTACTAAATACTAAATACATATAAATTACAAAACACAAAAATACATATGAAGATTCTTCTATTAGCTTTCTTGAGAACCATTAATATTAATTAGTAATACATAACTGAACCTCTAACTTTTCTTATTGGTCAATTAAATTTTCGTGTTGGCATAATATTGATTGATTTCTTTTTGGTCTACAAATACAAATCATCAGACATGTTTGGATTCAAATCACAATGCTATAAAAAAAAGTTTCAATTTTTAAAGATGTATTGACTTATGACCGAATGTTTTATTATTATTTTTCATGTGTTTTGAACGAATTAAATATAAATATTATTAAAAAATTTTAATTTATATACTTTTTAAGAACTAATATTATTTGTTCATATTTAGTTTTAACTTTTAATATTGTAGTCTTGTAAATGTTAAGAATGGAATGGAAATGGAAATGGAAAGGATGGAGCCCACCAAACCAGCGCATTGAACCGTTGGCGACAGCTGTGCGCCACCAAAAGACGAGGACACCCTGTCCAAGTCAAACAACCCACGGCCACGGGCAGGGCAGCCCCTTAACCGCCCGCAACACAACGGGCAGATTAATTCTCTGACTCTGACCGTTCAAACTAATAATAATTAAAAAAAAAAAAAAAAAAGAGGCAGGAATTATTAAGCAATTTTTTTTATAAAAAAAAAAAAAAAAAAAAGGAAGAGAAAGCCGCATCGTCATTCATCATCTCATGCGACCGTGAGAGAATCAAGTCAGCCCAACGGTCTGTTCTCTTGGAGCCACACACAGACACAGACACAGCCCTCTCCTCTCCCTCAGCTCAATACGGTACTCTATAAATAACTAACGCCAACTCTCCAATTGCCATAACATTCATTCATTCATTCATTCATCATATTTTGCTAATTGTACGTTATTCTCTCTTTCTCTCTCTATCTCTCGTCACCTGACCAATTCTCTCGACGACAATCAGCAATGGAGGCGATGAAGGTATTTTTGGTTGCCGTTATGCTGATGATGGTAATGGCTTCGTCGGCCGTCCAGATTGTGGCAGCTTCCGAGGGTCCATCTCCGGCTCCTTCTCCAGCTTCCGATGCTTCCCTATTTCCTCCCACTCTTTTCGCTTCCGTCGCTGCCCTTGCAATGGCACTCCTCTTCTAATTTCCCAATCTTTCATTATTTTTTTATTTTTTTCCTCTCTGATATATTATACAATGGGAGGATGGATATACTTGTGTAGAGCTTCTCTTTTGCTAAATTAACTCGAATCTTCTTCCCTCCATGCCTCCCTCCTCCTTCTGGGAATTGAGGTGGTGATCATGGGATGGGAAGGGAGCATTTGAGATTCTTTGCATATTTTTCCTTTTTTTTTATATATATAAAAAAATAAAATCATCTTTTTCTGCAGGGGCTATTCTTTGATGTTTAGTTTGGGGGATATATCATGTTCATGTGTCCTTGGACAGATTTTTGTTATTGCCTCTATTTGTACTTGGTATTATTATTGATGTATTCTACATATAAAAAAAAATTGGTCGTCGTTTATTCAATTCAGCACAGCAGCTTCAATTTCAAATCTTGATGTATTACCACCTTTTTTTTTTTACTACTTATTTGCTTTCTCTCTATAATTCATAATAATGAACCAATAAGTAACAACATACTCCCCAGTAGATGCATGTATGCATATATATATATATATATGATTAATGTTTCCTGCACCGACCGACAGTGTGCACTGTCAACGCATTGTCAATAACATTAAATGAATGATAACTATGTAAAATTTGAATTTATATGGGACACTTCTTCTTCTTCTTCGAGCCTGAGCTAAAGATCAGTCCTGCACGGAGGCCGGCCAAACATTTGTGCTTCCTTCCTTCCTTCCTGAGCAATTTATCTTACCACCATCTCTTCATTCTCTTTTTAACTTAAAAAAACGCTTCTTGGGATAGATTTGTTCAATCCGTAGTTCAACAAACAGCAGCAAACTGCAAACTTTCACAACAATATCCTAGAAAAAGAATATAATGCGCTTGCCTTTTTTTCCTTTTCTTTTTGGATCGGCAATTGATGATGATGACAAGCTTTTAATTAAAATGATAATCAGACCAACTCTACATACACAGAGAAGCGACAAATGGATGGGGGAGGGAGCGGCGGTGGTGTAGGCGCAGGAAACAGATAGATATCCAGTGATCCACATGCAAAGCCAGGAAAAATATCTTAGCCAGCGACCCCAGCCCAGCAATGCCCATGATGAAGAAGATGATGTTTGTTAGACAACAGTTGTCAATATATGCAGTGTAGTGGATATTTTTGGGACTCATTATCATGTCTCGTTGTCGATGGCATAATTTGGGTCCGCTCGCTGGAACCGAAAGGCTGCTGCTGCTGGGTAGTGGGCGGCTGCACGTGAAATTTATAAATTTGAGGTTGTGATTAAAATTAGGGATAATTTCAGAAACCTCTCCCCTGAGGTTTCTGACAGTCTCACTCGCCTCCCTTGAACTTTGCATGTGGTGATATACTTTAATATGATCATTCAATTAATTGAAACATACTTCTGGTGATATAAAAAAAAATGTATAGTTTTATAATTTGAGTGATTAAAAGTATAAATTTTTATTAGTTAAGTCATAAAAAAATATTATTTGAGTGATTAAAAGTATAAATTTTTACTAGTTAAGTCACAAAAAAAATTTCACTATTTGGTTAATTGAGCGAATGGCAATTGCAGTTAAATAAATAGTGTAACGATCAAATAACCAAATTCTCAATAGTTTAATAACTCTTTTTGCGATTTTCTCTATGGAAAATGAAATGAAGTAGCAAAGATACTTCATTTCATTTAGTGCTAAATACTTTAGTTGAGATTTTTTTAAAAAAAAAATTAATTCACACTGTAGTTTGTCAAATTTATTCAACAAGCTTCATTTGAATACCAGAACTTAGGTAGATCCGATTTTCAAAAAATTCAATAACCCAAATTGTGTGCGCACTTTATGAGATGATATAATATACAATTTACATCATTGAATTTTTGAAAACCAAATTTACCCAAATATAAGTAATGAGTTACACTAAATAATTGTCATACAAAAAAAAATGAAATTCGTGATTTTAGAGAAAGGTAACATTAGTGTTAAACTCTTCATTGGTGATTGTACTACGAAAAAAAAGTGTAAAATGGAATAGAAGGTACATCATAAGTTATATCTCTATTACTCATTTAACTAATTCTGTCAAAATAGCTTCAAAATATATCATAAGTTATGAGGGTATATTTGTCAATTCATCATCTATGATATCACAAATAGGGCCCAACAATCTGACAAGGGAGGTATCTGATATTTTGCAAAGTTTATGGAAGGTGAGTGAGACTGTCAGAAACCTGAAGGGAGGTTTCTGAAATTATCCCTTAAAATTACCTCTTGAGGTTTGTCCATATTACCAAACAAACCTTATGGTTAAATCAAATAACATTCAACTCCCAAATATTTATCAATAAGTCCCTTGCCGTTATCAAACGTTAATAATTATAGTGACATCAACAAATGAGAAGTTGTGGAACCCCAAAATGTCTTTTTATTTTACCAGGAACATATGGTCTTTTTTTTCCACCCAACTTTTTATTTTACCCATAAAAATATTCTTCCGTTCTTTCTCACGATCAATCCTTATCAATCCTATCCCCACAATTAGGCCTATCAATGGTGCGGATCTAGACCTGAATTCGTAAAATTATTGCGATTACGGGTAGGGATTTAATTATGGTATCTGAACCCGGATCCTGATCCATTTTGTCAAACAAAAAATGGATCGGATACGGAATATAGTATTTCGACCCGTATTAGATCTGGATTCGGATATAAATAGAATAATAATTTAAAAATATATATATTTATCAATATAATTTAATTAGTGTGATGTATTTGAGTAAAGTCGATTTGATTTCTTTTCTTATTTGATTTTTTTTGTATTAGTTAGAAATTAGTTTACAAATATATTTTTTCTTATTTTTATTAGAAAATTGTAAGTTTTGATAAATTTTTTCGAGTAGACCTGACCCGGATCAGAGACCCGTCGGATTTGGATCCGAAACATAGAGTACAGGACACATCGGATAAACGGGTCCGGGTCCGTTGACAAGCCTACCCTCGATACCGCATTCTCTATTACCCATCTTTATCAACATCCACCAGAAAATTCTAAACTTCAACCTCGTATTTTCCCAACCAAGCCAATAAGAAATCCCTTTGCAAGGCAATCTGCCGAAATTGTTCTCCCCTCTTAATTCTTGCAAGCTAGATCAAGATTGTAGAAAGGAAAAAATGCATTTGTTTGCTCGCTTTTTGATAAGAATTTCGCAAATAGCGAATGGGTGAAACTAGCAATCAGATTAGAGGCCAAAAGAACATGATGGTGGTACTAAACATACCTACCAATACTAGTTGTCAATGCTGCTACAACCGCGGTCATCTACTCTTTGCTCGACGAAATGCCGCATAGAAGTGATCTTTGGGTTTAGGGAGATGGCTTTCGTGAAATTATAGTTTTCTTAAGTTTTTGTGAGTTTGGAGAATTGGAGTAATGTGTGGTTTCTTCAAATGGGATTTCTAGTAATTCCACATATACTACAAGTATCTGGGTAGCATGTTCTATTGTTCAGTGAGTTATTGATGATGAAGATTGCATTCTTTTTTCTTTTTTTTCCCCTTTCCCCCCAAACCTGAAAATCTAGAGCTTGAATCATAGGGTCTGGACTATGGATCCTTGCATTGAAGTTGAATTTTGGATGCAGTTCTCATAATGTCCATAAATCTTTAACTTTCCGTCATGTGAATTTTAGACATCGTTGATGTACAGTCAAGTGATGATATCTTATCATTTTTGGAAGAGATTTAGGTGAAATTGCCACTAGAGCTAGGCAAACAGACTTTTGTTCTTTTTTTTGTCCCCAAATTAAGAACATCTTAAGTGGCAATTTCGACTTTTCACTAAATCTGTCAAGCTCAATTAACAGAAGTTACTATAAAGGGGGTATTGGTTATTTGGCCAAACCGAAAGGTTTATTTAGTAATATGAATAAATCTCAAGAGAGGTAAATGTAATTATACCTAAAATTTTTTTGAATTGCCATCCACTATTTCTTCTCCTCCTATGACAAAATCAGGCAGATGCAATTGACATTTAAGTTTTAACAAAAATCAACTCTATCTCACAGTAAAATTTTAAAATTAACTAAAACATTCTCTCCACAGCTTCTAGAAAGTGACTGTGGCACCATTAATACCACATTTAAGTTCAGGTTTTGGAAAATTTCTCCCGCTAATGGGTCTACACTTTTTGACTTCAAAGATAACATATTAAAATGGCCACCATCTATTGTTATAGCTTCTTTTGTTCTCTCTTTTAATAATTTTACTTTGTTTGTTTGTTTTCTAGTTGTTCTCTCAAGGAGGGCCGTTTGGTTCGCGAACAAGGATGAGATAGGATGACTCATTCTTGAATTATTAATCCTGCATTGAGTCATCCTTGAATAAATAATTCAAGTTATTTAATGTTTGATTGGTTTTGAGTTGGATTGGATATCTTGAAAAATAATCATATCCTGTGTTTGTGTTCATTTGGAGATTGAATAAGGTGGGATTACTATTTTAATGACCAAAAGCACCCCTTAATTTGTAAATTCTTTGTTAATAAAATAATTTAATAAAAAAATTAATATTTCTAACTTTTGTTAAAATAGAGTGGTTTGAAACTTTAGAATTATAAAGTAAATCAAGGGTTTTAATATATAAAAATTTGCATTCATTTAAACTCAGCCCATTTGGGTCCTTAAAAACAGATTTTGACCAAAGTTTTTAACCTTTATTGAAAATCCGATTAACCAATGGGTCGAGTTTGGCTAAATTAGGGTTAGACCGATTGAAACCTAACCCATTTAATAGTTTTAAATGAGCTAAACTGAAGATAATATTGAAATAATCCAACCTTTCTTATGGGATTATTTTATCTCGTGAGTAGGGATTAATTCGATTGGGTAGTACGTGTCATTCCATATTTGGTTGTCAAAAAGTCAAAATTTGAAGTAAAAAAGTCTGCGTCGTCCCATGAACCAAAGGTCTCCGGGTTTATGTTCATTATAAGGTGGTGTTTGGTAAGAGGGTTTCGGAATGAAGAATTGGAATAAACCCCATAATTATTATTTGGATTACTACTATCGGAATTGAAATTTTGGAATCATATATAAAAACTTGGAGTTCCCTAATTCCTCAGTAACCTGGAGAGTTTTGGACAAAATCCAAGTTTGATTCCCATTTAGAAACAGGGCCCGTCTCGCCATCCATTAAAAAAATTAATATATAATAATATATAATATATATTATAATTAAATATTTTATTATAATATAAGTATAATTATATAATATACTTATAATTATTATATACATATCTATAATATATCATATAAATATGTATTGTAATTATTTAATTAAATATAATTATAATTATATAATATATATTATAAATTTATTAATATTATATAATAATATATTTATAATATTTATAAAT